CTTTGTGAGTGTTATTGGTCCATGTGACACGCGCAGATTCGACTAGGCGCTTAAGATATTATAAACGATAAAAACAACATTTTTATTGAAGGTTATTTAGGATAAATGAACTTAACGAAAATTATAGTATACGTGACAAGGATTTCGTACATACAGAGAACGCCTAAATCTGACTTCGTGAGAGGAAGTTATGATTTTTCAAAGTTTCATCGTAGCAGTATACGAATCAGACACCAAAATTGAAATCGTTCGATTGTTAGGAAAAACAATCTAAATGAGAGTTAAAGATCTCGACAATACCTATCCATCGATATAAATACAGTCGATAATGGATATCGTATGAAGAAGTTATGATTTTTATGTAGACTTTAATAGTCTAAGCCTGTAAAAAATATAGTTTTAAAAATAAATTGAGAATTACCCAACGAAGTGTAAACAAAAGTTGTAGACCTCGTCGATAACTATGCATGGATATAAAGAATGTTGAAAACGGAGCTCGTATGAAGAAGATATGAATTTGTGAAGAAATTGAAAATCCATACATGGGTTCGCGAGCAACGACAGGGCGCATGGCATGCACTGAGACACCACCCATTATGCTCCACATGTCAAGCAACGACCGGAGCCATGTTACCCACCCCGACCAAGTGTGTGGCACACATGCAAAATTCTCCTGTATATACCTTCAATTTCAGCATTCTCCTCACACCATTTCCGCCTAAATCCTATGGAATACCTACCACCCTCTAGTCCTGATAGTTTCTAGTTTTTGGATACTTTGGCGAGGCCCTGGAGCGTCTGAAACATTGAGATTTCAGATCGAGATTATTCCCACATAATTTCCTGGTTTTCTCTCAGAAACTCTGAAAGTTAAGCTACATATATTTTTATTCAAGTGTAACTTTTAATCATAGTCATAATCGTTATTATGCACCTATAATTAATATTTATCATTAATTCCAACTCATTATACTGATGGATCTACTTATGGGAATGATGTCTAGGCTAGATTTAGTGAGGTGTTTAAACTGGGATATCCAAACAGTATACTTTGTATACCAAACGGACCCTACCTCCGATATGATCCTACCTACTTGTTCCGCATTTGATAGATCTTGTTGTAGACATTGGGATTAGTGAGGAACCTAGACTATCATTAGTCGCTAGGAATATAAGACTAAGACATAGTAATGTGAACCTAGGTCACGTCAGAGCAAAAGATAAAGTACCAAGGGGAATTTCTACTCGAATTCTTAGGCATCCACATTTAGCAAGTGAGTGTATAGTTACTTTCAACTTACACATAAATATAAAGTATTAAATTTGCTTAAATGCCTTATGTGCTTATTATATGTGTTCCTAATATTCGTGCTAAATGAGATCATGATTTTACTTGCCATAGATTATATATGTATTTTATCATACTTATATTGTATCGGGTAAAAAGGGTAGAGAGAGAACATATATAATATAATGGTGAGAGACCATGCTAGAGATAGAATAATGGTGAGAAACCATACTAGATATAATATAATAGTGAGAGACCATTCCATAGATAGAATAGTGGTGAGAGACCATACCATAGATAATATAATGGTGAGAGACCATGCCTAACTAAGAGCAGTCATCTAGCAGAGTATTGATGACAACCACAGACACTTCTAGATAGTCAAGTGGAACACTAGCAGACTTACAATCTGTAGGTGTTAATGAATCATACTGTCCAGGAGTATGGATTGTGAGTTCATTCGATTACTCTATCCACCTAATGGTTGCCTTATAGACATGCATTGCTAAGCAATGCCCGAAGCAATGTCATCTACTCGTTGTTACAGAGATCCTTTAGGATAGGACCCTTGAGATTATCATTTTAGGATCAAAGAGTGAGAATAAAGGGAATCGGTAATTGGGATTAAATTTGTTTGGTGTCTTAAAATATACTAAAAACAATATAATAATAATATTATGGGTTGAAAATCCTATGTGCTCACCAGGCTCCCAAGCCTGACCCACTCAGTTTTTTTGTATGACACGTAGCAGTACGAAGGTATAATCTACTAAGAGATTCAAGGAGTTTAGACCATTAGTTAATGTAAGGCATGTAATGGTTATGTTTATGCTTATGTTTTGTATTAGTTATGACATCCCAAGTTTTAATAATCAACAAAAAACATTTTCTTCAAAATTACTTTTTATGGGACAAATTTTGCATTTATAAACAAACTCTATTTTTTAAAATAAGAATAAATAAAATGATTTTTCTAGCCAATAAAAATGGGGATGTCATAGTTGGTATCAGAGCATTAGTTTAAGTGAACTAGGAATTTTGAGGATTTCTAGACTTAAACTTAAAATGGTAAGCGATGATCGTGAGATGTTGTCTATTATATTTTAGGTAGAACACCTGAATTGACACAAGCACTACTTACCTTAGGATAAGATGCCTAATTTAATCCTATTTGCTAAATGGTTTGTAACATAGCATGCCTTAGGCTGCCTATTTAAATTGTTATTATTAGGATTAACGTCTGTCGCCAACCTAGAATTAGGAAATTTTATGTATTCAGGTTTCTAAACGTTTACTAACAGTATTAGAACTGGCATATAACTTTTCGAAGTGATAAGGAAAATTATGCGTCTAAACCTTCCCTATCTATATTCTCATATTGATACATTAACTTTCGCTTTGGTGTACATAACGTGATGGTGAGAACTCGTAGCAGATTAGGGAATGATAACGAGAATCAGCAGCCTGGGACCCCTATAATCGAGCGTGCACCTGGAGTTGTGCTGATATATGAACTATAATGACGACGACGATGTGGGATCTGTTAGCCAAACATAAGAGGGTAATGAGACAGCTTATCAGAGAGAATGTAAGAGAACCCATTGTGTCTGTCATACAGCCTGAGCTTAATGAGGAGTAATCTGAGGAAGGAAATTACAGTATGACAGTGAGTCGTATGGAACCCCAAGTAGTTAGGAGGAATAACCCTGAAGTGGAGATTGAAGGGAATGGATGCAGGTACAAGGACTTTATGACTTGCAAACCGTCAAGGGTTAATGGAAAGGTAGGTTTGATATGTCATACCCTCGGCCTGGAGGCGGAAACACCAAGCGGCGCAACGTTTAGGGATGTTTGCTTATAGATGAGGTTTCCACCTTGAGTTTTGTCTTGACTATCATTCAATTTGGTAGATTGGGAGTCATTTATGACTATTGGCTGAAAGGTCAACTGTCTCCATTGGTGTCCTAGGAATACATGTCGGTTTTGAAAGGTCAACATAATGTTGGTGAGTCCACAGGTTTTGTATACATGAAAATACTTTATCGAGTTCGTTAAGTCAGCTCTTAGTCTATCTTAGTATGTATTGCACCGTCTCTTCATGTTCTGGTAGTGGGAATTCATATAGTTTAGTAACTAGATCTGATCTTATTTTGAAGGATGAGTGTATTATCTTACTTTCGTTGGTTTTTGGAATCCCATTGTTGGTACTAAGGAAACATTTATCTTAGTATCTTCTTACATGTACTGCTTTCTTATTCATTGCTTTTTAAGTTTGATAAGAGTAGTTTGAACTCGTTTCTTTGAGTTTGAGTGTACTATCACTACTTATTTAACTAGTATTATTGGATAGCTAGTTTTGTTTACCAAATTTACAATGAGTTCCTCACTACTAGAAAAACAGCCTTTTACGTCGCGCAATGCGTGTCGTAAAATGCTCAGACGACGCGCAAATGCGTGTCAAGAAAGGCCCTGTCATAACGAGAGACGACACGCTTTTGCGCGTCGTCTACAGACGACGCGCATTTACGACACGCAATGCGTATCATTAAAGCCGCTGTGAAGAAAGGCCATGTCATAAATGAAGATGACACACATTTTTGCGTATCGTAATTTTAATTTTTTTTTAAAAAATTATTTATAGATTTACTAATTTTCAAATTAAATTTGCATTTCATGTCTCATAATAGAAAATAAAATACCATATACAAAAAAATACAATAAATTGCACAAAAATTAATATCATACAAATAATCAAATGTGAAAGCGATGAAAGTCATCAACAAATGTGAAAGCAACGTAATACATTTTTTATAAAATTAACTAAATTATTAGCCAAATTTCCTAAAATACCAACATACTTTTCTATGAAGAGCATTAACACTATTCTTTTCCATCAAAAACTTCAAAACCTGCATAATTAAATTTATGTTTAATCAGCTACAGGTCAATAAGGTAGGTTTAAGCAAAAGAGTTTCATAATAGTAAGATTTTACTTACCACTGTTGTTAATACATTGAAAGAAGCACCTCTTCTGCTAGCTTTGTCAAATTGGTACCATATTCCTCTAGAGTTGGCATCTTGTTTCCAGAGCTCCCACCACCAACTCCAGCATCCACAGTAAACTATGTTTAGATTCCATAAATAAACTATGTTGATAAACTGATTCCTGTATCATCATCAACATCACTATCTGATTATATTTTTTGACAAACTGGTTACTGTTATCAATTGAAAAGTAAAAAAGCTACCAATGACAGTGAATACAAATAGCAAAGAAAAACCAATGTTAGATTCCATAAATAAATTATGTTTGTTTCTTATGGTGAAGCCTTCTAACTAACTTTCTCATCAAGATCTTTCAAATATTCCAAGTAACTGCAAGTATAAAGAATATAAATATTACTCATTTTCTTTTTCTTTTTTTTTCCACTTATTTTATTTAAAATGATACATGTAATCCAACCTGACACCACCCATTTGTTCACTAATCCACCCTGCACTGTTTAACTTTGCATCCATTCTTGCAGCTGCAATGCCATGCCCAATGCCCCTTAATTGGTGTTTCCGATTGTCTCCTCTGATAAAGATGCATCTGTCAACCCTTAAAAATAAATAAATAAATAAATAATAAAAAAATAAATTGTTTTAAATAAGTTAAATACAGATTTAACATATTACCATCATCTTCCATGTTATCGGCTTCTTCCTCTAAATGAAAACATCTCAATATGTCCAAGCTGTTGTGAGAGGGCATTTAGTCAGGAATCATGTTGTGGGAACTTTAAGATGTGTTCAAGCTATTGTCAAGATGCAAGCTCTTGTTCGTGCTCGACGTGCTGACATGGCATCTGAACTACATTCGGATCCAAAATATATTTCCATCGAGAAGCTACTAAGTAACAGTCTTGCTCGACAGGTAAACAGAATTACCATTTTATCCTTTTGTTATAATAATCGGAAAAAGTAACCTTTTTTTGTTCAAAAAGTTACTGGAACCTGCACCGAAGAACAAACAAATCAACATCAAATGTGTCCCTTCAAAATCTGATTCCGCTTGGAATTGGTTGGAGAGATGGATGTCTGTGTCTTCACCAGAAACAATGGAATCACGCACTCCAGAACAGAATCAAGAAAAGGTTATTTCTGTGATTCGTGATTGTGAATCAATGGAATTGGAATCCAGTGTTGGAGAAGAAACCGTGTTTTCTGATGAAAAATTCGACTTGGTCAAAGTCAATACTGAAGAAAAGTCAGATGAAGAAGAAATTCCTCAACCTGAATCCATGGATTTGATTGTTGAAGAATCTGTATTAGAAATCGAACCCAAACGTGTAACAAACAGACTTGCAACTGATGAAGCAGATTCAGAAGGAAGAAAATCAGTTTTTGGATCAAGAAAGCCAATCAGTCCATCTTTCATTGCTGCCCAGTCAAGGTTTGAAGAGTTGACTTCCAAGAACAACATCCCATCAAAACCATCCGATTCATCTAAACAAGAAAATGACGATTTTACCCCTGAACACATCACCCCATCAATACTTCTTCTAATCAAGACAATGACGTTGATACCCCTGAACACATCACCCCATCAAAACCCATGGTCAAGCCCTGATGTTCAAGATAAAGAGATTTATTTAAAAAAGAGACATTCATTACCTGGTAATGGAAGACAAGCGTCACCTCGAATTCAGAGATCTATTTTACTGTGAAATTTGTTTTAACTTGATCCCGAATTGGTCCTGCAATGAAATGCCATGTATCAGATATTAGCTTTGTGCAATCAAAAGAAACAAAGCATTTATCCCCTATAGTCCATTTCCTTTCTATGGAAGCATCATAACGACTTCTCTCCACCAAGAAATCAAGGAAGTCAACCAACTGCGGGAGAGTCAACTTAAAGGTCTTACCAAACACCCCATATGAAGGATCCGTAAATTTAAGCTTTATTTTACAATAACTCTCTCCAGAACATCATCAACCAAACAAATCCCCACATCTTTTACTGTGTATGTATGATGCTTCAACCATCGATGGGTTTTCCACCCATACCTGAGAACCTACGGTGATTTTTCCCGTAGAATCCTGCATATGGATTTAAAGAGTCATCAGAAGCCAAAATTAGGGTAGTAATGAAGATATGAAGGTAAATGAGGAATAGGAACGAATTTACCGCATGAATACAATCGGCGATGGCGGAGGGTCGGTGACGGCGGAGGGTCGACGACCATGAAAGAGCACATAGCGGTGGCCGGACTGTGAGGGGAGTAGTGTGCGGTCAATGTGGGGAGGGGAAAGATGTATCGTCGATTGTGGGGATAAAGAACGATGCGTCAAAAAATGCTTAGGGCAAAGAGGGAAAGAGGGAAAGGAAAGCGGGCTTTTCTAATTTTTGGGTTTTCTTTTCCCGCTTGCTACTAAACAACGCGCGTTTCATTAAAAATTATAAAGCGACATGTCTAGATGTCGTACATTTTATAATAAGCACCCTCCGTGTTTTTTTTCTGACACTAATTTTAGGGCACGCAAAAATGCACGTCTTAAATCCTTAAAATTTCTAAAGAGCTCACATTATTTTTAGGTCACACACTTTTGCGTATCATAAATCAATGCATATCATAAATTGCGTGTCGTAAAAGGCTGTTTTTCTAGTAGTGCCTATAATCGAGTAGTGACTCTTGATCTCGAAAACCATGCGCTTCATCGGTCGTCGCAAATGTGTTTAGAAAGTTATGCCTGCTTCGACTTGCCATCAGGTTGTAGCTAGCATCCAGAGGTGGGAGTGTCAATCCCATATAGATTTATACATATCTCTCCCACTCACTTAATATTTAAAAATTATAGGCTGTGAGCTTGATGAAATTCTTTCATTGTGTTAATGAATCGAGTCTCATCTAACTCTTGTCGTGGGGGCCTCCCCTGGTCGGTCATGTTGTTTTATCTCGTTGTTGTCCATACGTGTTACTTATTATATTATTTGTCTTATACATATTTATAATTAGTGTGTTTTCCGTAGCCGAGTATTTGGGCGGAGTAACCACTAGGTACTAAGCTTATCCAAAGGTAGGCTATAATAACGACTAGAGAATCAGTGTTTTCCAGGAAACTGACCAGCGTGAAAGCTAGGTATGATCTTATCTGTCATTGTGATTCAGTAGAACAACTAGGCATAATGTTAGCTAAAAATTTTCGGCAGAGTATCTACCATGCATAATATCTCCTAATGTTGTGAGCATAACTATCTAACTACAGTTAGTAATAACTATATACAATTACATTTTAACATGTATTCCCCACAAAAAGGTTTGGAAAATGGGGTCGTGAACTCACTTGTAATTTCTGAAACCGTTGATGTAGGGAAGACAACTGAGAGGTCCAACACTCGAGAGGCGTTCGGGAGCCATTTGCACAAATATCGAGAGAGTGTGAAGTGTGTTTGAGGTGTGAGAAGAGATCAATATGAGGCTGCTATTTATAAGGGATTTTTGAGATGCAGGCCGCATAGTGTGCGTGAACCAACCTGGCGTTGACAGGTGTCCTCTTCTCATGGTGTCACTTCATCCGTATCCGGGAGGATCGGAGTGTCAGAATGCGCACTGCATATTGCACGCGGGTGCACTAGGATGTTTTCTAATCTTTGAAAATTTGTAATTCTCACGTACGAGCTTCGTTTTCTACAACTCATATATATCTTTATAGGTCTCGTCATTTCTACGACTTTCCTTTTGGTCGTTTTGGGTAGTTTTAACTTCCATTTTTTACTAGTTTTTATTACGGTTATGATTTTATAAAAATCATAACTCTCTCATATGGTTTTTGTTTTAGGCGTTCTTCGTTTCATAATTCCTACTTTAGGTAGTACTACAATTGCCTAGTTGGTGACTTTTTCCTAAACTACACCATTCTCTCTGTAGTTTTCCGTCGTTGTAACTTCTAAAGTACGGTAGATATTTATTTAATATAGAAGTCATATCTCGCCCATACTGAGTTGGACTGTTTCGAAACTTATATTTATGGGATCAAGGTAGCGCACTCATTTTTTAGTCCAAGGTTTGTCGCCATTAAGGTGTTATTTGAATATATTGACATATGTTAGGCAGTTACAACATCATTCTTATTATATTTTTGTGTTTTTTCGCTAGATACAAATGGCGGTTGCTGACATATTTTATGGGTTGTCACATCCTCCCCCTGTTGAAGTAAATTTCTTCCCCGAAATTCAACTCGTAGTGCCTGCTGTGGAGCCACCTTATTGAGAGGATTTACAACTTTCAAAATTATTCCTATGGCGTAATTTTTATAAAGTGAATCTCTCTTCTTAAGGTTTGTTTTTGCAATGAGATTTGGAACTGTCTTGAGTTTTGTTGTGAGGCTGGTGGGTTTGTCCATAAGGGTTTAATGATTAAACATTTCGTTTAAGTTTCAATTCTGTTGGGTGTTTGTTGACTAGCAAAGGGTTATTTCGTGAGGTAGTTGGATGTATACTTGTACTTCTAATTCTTCAACTTTTTGTTATTCTTTTAGTGTTTATTTGCTTAGAGTTTTATTTCTATTTTGTTTTAGACTAAGAGGAAACCCAAAGTTCTTATTGGTTAATCGTGCTAAGGTTCTATTGAACCTCTATCCTTTTCGTTCTGTAATCTTGTCGCTTATATTTCAGGAATGCTTATGAGTTTATTTCAGGTTGCGGTTTTAGTGTCTTAATTGTTTCATACTAGACATGGTGGTCTTTCCATTAGGTTATCTTATGTTTATGCTACTTTTGGATGTCTTGGCCTATTTTAGTTATTCTTGGCTTTCGTAGAGTTTTTCTCAGAGTTCTAATTTAAACTAATGGTGGAAAGAAATAGGAATGTTGCAGGTTTACTTAACCTATAGGTTTATCATGAATTTCATAGTTTTCATGGTTTTGAAACGACTAATCTAATACACTTCCTTACTAGGTCTATGGGCAGTTTCTCGTGTTCGCAGTAGCTATTATGAGAGTCAAAATTCTATGACTCTTAGCTACGTGGCTTTTCATGCCATAGCCTTAACAATTTAGTATTCCACACCTTAGTATGGTGGTATATATATGGATTGGGAAGTGGGAGCTTGTCCTTAAGGGTCAGAATGTGCCTTGCCCTAAATGGTATGTTTTATTATAAGAGGATATGGCCTTCTTAATCCTAGTAAGTATTGGATTGAGTCTTTGAAGTTCTATTTTTTAGTGTATTCCTTAGGGCCCTGATTTTCTGATTTCTATCATTCCAGGGTAAGTGGTGCTTATACATATACTAGTTTTGACATGTGTTAGAACATTTGTTTTTCTTGTCGTAAGGTAACAGGGTTCTTGTCCTACTTCTGGAAAAATTCCTTTAGGTAGAGTCCTACTATCATCATGTTCTTCATATTCTTCTAAGGGATTGAGTATGTGGTATCTATTCCTAAGGTTTTGATTTTTAACATTCTACTAGTTGAGTGATATACTATAGGTGGTAATCTTAACCCAACTGTTCTTGGCACAGTTGTAGGTCTATAGGATTGTTTTATTTCTTTTGTACAATGATCTAGGGTAGCTGATTCTTCATTCCTATAGATGGATCCTTGCTTTCTGCTCATGAATTCCTGGTAGATGCTCCTTTTGTTGGTTGCTACCATTCTAGAGGTATCTTCCTCTTTTGTTGACTATGAAATTCCTTTTCTTCTTGATTCGTTTAATAATTTGTGTTTAACTTATAAGTTGTGTTTGTGTTAATCTAATTTCTTAGCAACCTACGTGCTTATCATTTTCTTGGGTGGGTTTGTTGACTTAAGTTGTCTTTCATTCTTTTGCCATCTCTTTATTGTTTGTTTATTACAGTTTATAGCTTTTTGGTGCATCTAGAGCTCATTTAATTGAAATAATGGGTATTCTAGGTAAATCTTGTAGGGCTTAGGTTGAAAGAGGTAAGGTAAAACAGTGTAGGGTTTAAAAATAAACTTTTTGAATTCTTGGAATGCACGCCAAGCATGCGAGTATGTCACGCGTAATGGGGCCAAGCATATAAAATGTGTATTGGTACCCCCCCCCCCACCCCACCTTGTCGATGTGCACCCCCGTTTTCTTCCACTTTTTGCAATTTATGGGCCCCACACGAGACTTGCACACCACGTTTTTTGGGTTTTTTCATTTTCTCACATCCATTCCTTCTTCTTCCCAGGTACACGTGTCCGAATCCTTAACATATATCCACTTATAATGGATCCTAATTACCCGTTTTTAGGTTTTTGGGGATTTTGGGATTTTTCTGATTTATGTTTGATAATATGAAACTGATGGATTAAATACTTAGTATTTTGGTCGATTATCGTAGTTCTATAGTCGATTGTTGCTAAAACTTGTTAATTTTTTCCTAATTTGATTCATTTCGAATTTTAGTGAAAAACTAGGGTTTTGTTCAAATCTGGATTTCCATTGTGTTTTAAACCAACGTGGTGGTGTAATAAGCCTATAGTAGTACCGATTATTGAACCTTAATGCTTCTTATCTTGAAATTTAGACGAAATAGGGCCTTATTAGCGATCTGTCGCCGACGTGTTCTTGGCGCACGCAACACATATGAAGATGCACACGACGCATCTTCAAATGCACGTCGGGCATCTAGAAATGCGCGCGAGGGGGAAAAATCCTAGTTTTTCCATTTTTAAACTTTATTTAAAATTTTACTAATGTTCCATGTTAATTTCCTCA